ATTGTTTTATTCACTCTTACATGTTTAACACACACACTCTCCTCGCATGCCTTCCATCCTCTCCCTGTAGTCGGCTGGACCTGAGAACGAGAGGATTTTTTTAACATTAGGAATGTCACCTTTAAATTACTTTTGTGCACTTTATTGACCTTTACGTAGATCCAATTCATTAAACCTTCCTTACACACTAGCAACCTTTAATACCGCCCACATGATGAATATATCCTGAACAACTAGTCACACGATAGGTATTGGCAATCCAATACTCCAATATAAACAGGAACAGACAAGTATGCACGGGAGACCAAGATATAAGTCAAACTTGAGACTTCATTAACAAGGCTGGAATATTGTCTAAACTATTTGCCAATATTATTTTGCATTTATTTAAGGTAGATAATTAATAATTACTTCATAATTTACGATCTTCTCTATTTATTAAACTGACAAATTAAGAGCACAATTTTATAACATTTGCCCAAATTTATTCTAGGTAGTAACGATTTGTTAAACCGTAAATATTTTCTTTCATTTCTTTTATATATGTATGCGTTTCTTACCATTGGGAAGGGGGGTAAGGGCACCTAACCTTAGACCTCATGTGGTCAATCCTATCCAACATTCATCCTTAATACCACTTCACAATACTCACGCCCTCCACCTGATAAGCTTTTGTCTTTTATCACGCATTAATCTACAGTAATTCGGTGATATTTTATGGGGTATAAATAGGGGGCGTCGACGCTTTACTATTAATGTCAAACTTATCCTGTCGGTGCTACTAGACCCCATACCCATCAAACACGTGCAAGTGTACCCTATGGCTGTCATGTGTTGGTTTTCTTACATTAAGCACCTCCCAGAAACCCTGCGCGTACTACTGCCTTTAAACTTTTTTATTTACTATCCTATGTATCATTAGCCCAATGTACCTTATATATATTAATAAATCAATCAAGATTAGTGAATGAGCCTCAATTACTTGTGCACCTTACATCCATCCTGTTTGCAGTAGTATGCCCTATAGCCATTCCAACGTTACAGTTTTCTATTGGCGTTTACAATTCATTCCCTTTTTCAAAGCGCACACCACTGTATCTAATGTTTGCCGAACAAAACATTATTTATATTAATTTATTGCGGCTTTACTCTAATTTAGTGACAATTGCCAACATTTCTAAGTGTTAATCTTTGACAGCATGCACCGTACAATGTTTAAATCACGAGTCCAAACATTGACATTCTTACTAAAGTACGCCAAGAGCCATACAGAGGTAGTAGCCATGTATACCATACCTGATGTAGTCCTTTACTTTAATACATTACATCTCTTGCCTTAACTATATTATTTTCTCGGATTATTGGTCCGCTGAAGCTGCTCCATGGTAATCAATTCCCTCCTTGCAAGTATAAACACCCGTTTGACTAAATTATTCACCTAACTTCACAGCACTCTGCTCACTCCCACAAGGTCTGTGCTGTCCGCTATTCAACAGAACCCATTTACCCACTATTCGCAAGATGCACGGATTGGTTAATAACTGTTGCTTCGTGATTTATTTTTAAACATTAAAATCACGATTGATACAACTCGACTCAAACGGTATTCTATTTTAACTAAATTTAACCAATATCTAACATATCACGTTATAGATTTTTACTTTAGGGGTAGAACAAATTATGGAACGATATCTTAAGATATCCTGGTTCATTACTTTTATACACATTCTACTTTCCAATTACTCAAATTATACTTCTGCTTACACACTTTCTAACCTCCCTAAGTCAACTAGTCATGTTATCAACATTATTTAACCATTTGGAATTTTTTATTCTAATGTTTTAATAACTATCAACTATTGTATACTTACACAAACATTTTTTATTTATTTCTAAAAACCCCACACATTAAGGGCTAACCTTTCTCCTGATACAAGTGGCGTACAGGAGCGTCACAAGCCAGTTGGGGTCTGTGCCACACGCAGCATTAGGCGCATTTAATCAAAACCTTAGATTCCTCACGACAATTGTAATAGTGGTAGTTTTACCATCCACTTCAATAACTAAAGTCCGACGAAACTAGAGGCACGGAACAGACACAAGGGAAATGGAGAGAGACGCAACAAGGGCAACAGGAAGGGCAGGAGGACGCAACATTGGGCCGGGGGAAAACAGGAGATTCCCACATACAAGTCAACGTCAAGAGACGAACCTCGAACTGTATACAAAAAGTGAGGTCAAACACACTGATTTGCATTTTGTCTCATCGTCCCTTTTATAACCAGCAGCCAACCAAACCACCCCGCTGATTGCTTGACATTCACCCTAAAACTCACACCCCATTGGTTAACATCTTGCGCGTCTGAAGTGCCAATTATCAATGCCCAACTACCATTCCTTCACTTACCCAAATACGAACAAGTCTCTAAAGAACAACTAATGATCCCCACCTTCAAGGTTTCAAATTTTTGAAACCTCGAGGGACCTCCAGGGACGTCACGGGGCTTCCAGGGACCTCAAGGGGCATCTACCGGGCTTCCAGGGACCTCAAGGGGCATCTACCGGGCTTCCAGGGACCTCAATTGGCCTCGAGGGACCTCAAAGGGCCTCTAGGGGGCCTCCAGGGACCTCAAGGGACCTCTAGGAGGGCCTCCAGGGGGCCTCCAGGGACTTCTAAGGGGACCTCAAGGGGCCTCCAGGGACTTCAAGGACCTCCAGGGACCTTAGCGGGCTCCAGGGGGCCTCCAGGAACCTTAAGGGGGCCTCCAGGGACCTTAGCGGGCTACAGGGGGCCTCCAGGGACCCCCAGGGGCCGCCAGGGACCTCAAGGGTGCCTACAGTGACTTCAAGAGGCCTGTAGGGACCTCCAGGGGGCCTCCAGGGACCTCAAGAGGCCTCCAAGGAATTCTAGGGGCCTGCAAGGGGCCTCCAAAGACCTGCAACGGGCCTCCAGGGACTTCAATGGGCCTCTAGGGGGTCTCCAGGGACCTCAAGAGGCCTCCAGGGACCTCCAAAGAGCCTCCAGGGACCTCCAAAGAGCCTCCAGGAACCTAAAAGCATCTCAAGGACGCCTACAGGAACATCCTGGAGGCCTCCACAGACCTCAAGGGACCTCAAGGGGCTTCACGGGACCTCAAGGGGCTTCACGGGACAAATTTCCTAGTAAAATTAAGAAATGTTCTTAATATACACAAATTGAATTTGTGTATATTACTAGTTTGAATTTAACTGTCAAATTTGAACTGTCAAATTTAACTGTCAAATTTGAACTGTCAAATTTAACTGTCAATTTTGAACTGTCAAATTTAACTGTCAAATTTCAACTGTCAGATTTGACAGTTCTTCCTATTAGTAGTAGTTAGGCATCTATCAGTCTCAGGAGACTATGGAGTTGTGCTCTGGTTGTATGTCTGGAGGGGCCTGTCCAGGGCACAAAGCCAGGTTAGGTTGATACAGAGAAGCTGTCACCCATGCAGCAGGTCCCCCCCCCCTATCCACGGCACTCCATATTGCTCCATTAGGGTAATATATAATTGCATTTACAGTGCTATCTCCATTTATGAATTTAATCCATTCCCAGAGACGGGTCGTAACTCGCAAATTCGCAACCCCAAACGAGTTTTCCCGTAAGAAATAATGTATATTTAATTATTCCATTCCACACTTCAAAAAATATTAACTTCAAAATACATTTCATACATAATACACACACATATTTTGTATTACAGAATAGTATGTACAAGTTATACCTTACCTTTATTGATGGCGTATGTTGTCGTACGACTTGTTGGCGTATGGAAGACGGTGAGGAGGACAGGTGTTATTTTTTTGAAGACGAGTCCCCTTCCATTATAACATTTGCATCAATTATGCACCTTTTTAATTTCTTCAGTGGGAGTGACACAAGAGGAAAGGGTAGGGGGGGGGGCGCACGGGAAATGGCATGACCTCCATATGCTGATTCAAAAATATTATATCTTGAGGCTATCTGGAGATGATTTCGGGGCTTTTTACTGTCCCCGCGGGCCGGTCCTCGACCAGGCCTCCAACCCCAGGAAGCAGCCCGTGACAGCTGACTAACACCAAGGTACCTATTTTACTGCTAGGTAACAGGGGCATAGAGTGAAAGAAACTCTGCCCATTGCTTCTCCCCGGCGCCTCGGGATCGAACCCAGGACCACAGGATCACAAGTCCAGTGTGCTGTCCGCTCGGCTTCCCTGACAAAAACATGTGATATGACAAAGCATGTGGGATCAGTTAGACATTCAACCAGTCAAGTGATTTCCAATACCACCCGCTCATGTCAGAGATCTTAATATAAACATCAAATTCCTTGGACTGAGAGAATTAAAATATTCAATATGGACTTACTGTATTTATGATATAAGAGTTACAGGTTATCAATATAATTTTCTTCATATAATACAACTTTCATAACTGAATTTATGAAGATAAAATCACAAATAAATTATTTTCAAGTTAGTGAAAAACAAGAATGGATGACATTATGCATAGATGAATAATATACAATATTTTATCTTAGCAAATTTCTTTGAAATTCAATGTCAATGTCTTTAACTTATACATATACATTCTTACCACAATTTATTATCCAAGAATGAGAATGATTAATCTATTAACATGAAACTATGATAATATTGCAATTTTTATACAAGGACATGATTTGGACAAGTGATACAATCAACCCGTCCTTTTAAAAAAACCTCACTTTTGCCTGCTATGCGCGGCACTATGGCCAAATTTGCACGTAATTTGAAATGAAATCGACTCACAAAAGTTACGTACAGTACTGTCCCTTTTTTTTTTTTGGAGTCGTCCGGCTTACTCGGGAAGCTTAGAAAAGGAAACTTTCCATTAACGTTTTTCATACCGTTTTGAAACTTTATGAGAATTTCCTCCCCACCTAACCTATCAGAGGACCCTTAACTTACTGTTGTTGAAACAAAAAAAATCAATTTTATTTTAATTTTTTTTTTTCCCATTTTCAAGTTACGTCCATATTCGGCCAAAAGGCCAAAAGCGACGTTCTTTTTAAGAGGACAGGTTGATATAATAGGCAGAAAATTTAGACATCTTCAATATTTCATAAAAAGATATACTGTAGTTTTTACTACACATCCAGAAGTGAGATCAACGATTAAGCAAGAAAAAAGATAATCTGAACATTCAGTATGTACAATAACAATTTATAAAATCACTAAAATATATTTTGTTTCAAAACAAAAAACGTATCTACAAATTAAGTGTGTCTTAAAAATAATGTATAAAGTATCTAGTTATACTCTGGTTGGCACTGTGAATGCTACTGTTGGGGTTCTCTTTCTTCTGGTCCATCCAGCTCATCTGAGGCTGCGGAAAAAATGTAAACAATATATTAGCTCATCAAGCTTCTGCAAGAAATGCAGAATTCTGCATTCCTTGCATAAACTTGCATGAGTAGCTAGTCCCAACCCTTCACAACACACACAATTTTTATCCTTCAAAATGAAGCAAAGTACAATCTTAAATATTTTGAAAGCTTTTATATATAAAAGGAATGACTCTCCCAAGTTATACAAATAAAACAACCCGTGAAAAGTAAGAATAGATATAAATTAAATATCACCAAACCACTTGGGGTGGACAGTAGAACAACAGTCTCGCTTCATGCAGGTCGGGGTTCAATCCCCCGACTGTCCAATGTCTTATTTCAACCATTTCTTATCCCCCGCCCCATCCCAATTCCTTATTCTCATCCCTTCCCAGTGTTACTCATAATCGCTTGGCACTTTCCACCTGATCATTTTCCAATACATTGAATAAATCCAGAAAAAGTCAAGTAATTTCTAGAAGAATGCGACCCATACTCTGCCATTCTAATTAAACTTTTGTCTACGTGATTATATCTGAAGACTTAAATTATATTTTTATTATGTTTATAGTGCCATTTTTTCCATAATTGACAATAATACTTGTATCATGAAACATGCCAGCATGGGCTACATATATACAGCACATGCAGTCCCCATGGTGTAGTAGAAAGACACTCAACCAGCGTTTCATGAGCACTTTAGCCTGCGTTCGTATCCTGCCCGGGGAGGATTTACTGAGCGCCAATCCTCAACAGGTCACATCCTGGGAAAGGTCAGACGTTTGACCTAAGGCAGACTTTCATACAACCTAAGTACAGGTTAACCTATTTGATGGGGGTTCTGGGAGTTGATCTACTTCCCCAAGCCCAGCCCAAGGCCAGGCTTAACTCGTGAGTTTCCTATCCTTGGTAATGGGAATTCAATTACACTACTTCAATGTTTACCCAGGGGTACATCTCATCCTAAACTAATTGAGAAAAAAGCCTGCGTTAAATGTAATGAAACCCAATTTTCTGGGTGAAACGTCCCCCCAGAAAAATCATGTCTTAAATGGAGAGCTTGTAACATTTGTAATTAGTATTCAAATGGGACCGATTGCTTCCAGGAATTCAAGTCATGTAATTCTTCTGTTTTTATTTTTTTGTGCGTGCACAAATAGGAAAAAAATCACTGGCTGACTACTCTCTCGTGTACTATAAAATTACACCACACTGGATGATATTTGGTTCATTTCAGCTCAAATTGGTTACAGTTTTCAATAATGTATCTTGAACATTTTCTCTGTCTTGTTCTCTGACTTATTGATAAGAGATTAATGATTATACCACAATATATGTATTCATATTTTAAGAGTGACAATCATCAGTTATGCTAACATGAACAACAATACACTACTGTGCAAAATTATCACAACAATGAACAATAAACAATTATATATATATGCAGTTTCGTAAAGGACAAAACTAAAAAGAGTAAATGTATTTTCTCACCAGAGTTACTGTTGCTATCAGAAGAACTTTCAGCTGTAAAAAGACAGAAAAAGAACATGAATCAATACAAGTTTCTACTGTAGATCTGACAGAGCCCAATAGGCTCGGCAACCTGTACATGAGCAAGTTAAATGATGGCTGCGAGGCAGGACCAAACAGCCAAAGCTCAACCCCCGCAACCAAAACTCTGCGAGTACAACTAGGTGACTACATTATTAAGTTCATCTTTTATTTATGTTCAGAGTAACATCTTTACATCCCTGCTATGTAAACATCTTTACATCCCTGCTATGTAAACATCTCTACATCCGTGCTACATAAGCATGAACAAATCCACAAGGGCCGTGACGAGGGTTCGAACCTACGTCACGGCCCTTGTGGATTTGTTCATTTGATGCATCACGCTATTGTGATTTCTGTGTGTACATAAACATCTCTACATCACTGCTATGTAAACATCTCTACATCACTGTTACGTAAACATCTCTACATCACTGCTACTTAAATTCAATGTTCACCATGAGTATAACAGTGCTCCAATAATTCTAACCGTGCCTAAATTCAAATCATTTCATGTACAGTATCACACTTTCTGCTCTTTAGTTAAACACACATTGTACAAATAAACTAATGGCTAAGTATAAAATATTTACAACACACTGAATGCCTTCTTGAGGTTATCTTGAGATGATTTCGGGGCTTTAGTGTCCCCGCGGCCCGGTCCTAGACCAGGCCTCCACCCCCAGGAAGCAGCCCGTGACACCTGACTAACACCCAGGTACCTATTTTACTGCTAGGTAACAGGGGCATACGGTGAAAGAAATTCTGCCCATTGTTTCTCGCCGGCGCCTGGGATCGAACCCAGGACCACAAGATCACAAGTCCAGCGTGCTGTCCGCTCGGCCGACCGGCTCCCTTGCCTAAATTCAAATCATTTGATGGCTACGTATAAAATATTTACAACACACTCAATGCCTTGCGTACAACAAACCTCTACTAAACAGCACTGTAGAATATAATTGTTATCTTTCATCATCACTACCCTGTTTCCCACTTTCGCGAGGAGGGGGAGCCATCCTTGAATAAATACGAGAGCAAACAACAAAAATTGGCCTTCGAGGAAATATGAAAACCTCATTCTAAAGAGGGACATTCGGTCAGTCCTCTAAGGTAAAATTTCCCCGGACTCTGTTGGTTACTATCATGTCAGGGCAAGTTGATATTCCACACCGATACTGCAAGGAACTTATCAGATGTGGTGCCAGACAGGCACTGGAGAGAGAGGGAGGGAATTATCAGGGCAAAGCACCAACCCATTATGACTATATAGCACCTTTACGGGCTATTCATGCCCGTGCCACCTCTTGGGTGGCTTAATCTTTATCAATTTTGGGATGCGACGGGGGAAAAGGATGGGATAGCCAAAGCAACTAGCTATCCAATTCATTTCGGATAGCCAACTTATCCAAAATGCCCAATTCCACAGGGTGATGGGCCGAAGCAATCCCACTTCCCCTCAATTCCAGTAATAAATCACTGAAGAGCAGTTACAGTGGACCCAGAGCACACAGCCCAAAGAAAGCCAAATCTTCCTCAGTGATGCAAATTTCCACACCATGTTGTGCCCAAAGGAATGTATCCGACCACTGATCCCGGGCGCCCTTGCAAGGGCTGGTCATGAAGCCTCCAACTCGGCACCAAAGGGGGTCCAAACACACTAAGTGATGGGGAAAGGATGGCACCATAGAGTTGAACCCCAAAAGGGAAGCTGGGAAAGCAAGAGCTAATGAAGGGTGAGTGGGGCCCTGAACCTGCAGGTCCCAGGAATGGAAAAACAAGTGGGGAAACCACACAGGCAAAGTTCAAGACCCGGATTCATAAAGCAATTACGCAAGCACTTACGAAACTGTCCATCTTTTCTCAATCTTTGGCGGCTTTGTTTACAATTATTAAACAGTTAATGAGCTCCGAAGCACCAGGAGGCTGTTTATAACAACAACAGTTGATTGGAAAGTTTTCATGCTTGTAAACTGTTTAATAACTGTAACCAAAGCCGTCAAAGATCGAGAAAAGATGTACACGTTCGTAAGTACTTACAAAACTGCTTTCCTGCACAATGCTTGACGAACTGGCAACTCATCTGGGGCCAATCCAACACCTGATAGCAATGCAACTGCAAGCACAGCAAAGCTCCCATAGGTAGGAAAAACAGAAGCTGACAGAGTCCCAAGGGAAATCCAGCCAAGTTCAAACATGGGATTGAATCAAATGGCACTTCTTCCTGTTCAACACAAACCCAAACCCAGCAAGTTGGTAAAGAACCAGATTCCTGGCCACCTGATAAGTGGAGTGACTCGGGGCCCACACCAGCCAGTCGTCGACGTTATCTTGAGATGATTGGTTATCTTGAGATGATTTCGGGGCTTTAGTGTCCCCGCGCCACGGTCCTCGACCAGACCTCCACCAGAGGTAGGGGAATACATGAACCCTTAAGAGATGTAGCCAGGCCACAATGACCAGAACTTAACCTGATAAACACATGAAGGACCAGTTTAAAGTTGAATGAAAGAACTCTGAAGCATTAAGCCTGATGCCCAACAACAAAGCCTGGCCAGTCTCTGAACCTGGGATCGATGGGAACGTGCCAGTACCTGTTGTCTCCCTGTTACAACAGCCTGGTTGGTGGTCTGGACAAGCAAGCTGTTGGGTGTACCTGCTTGCAGCCTGATGTATGAATCACAGCCTGGTTGATCAGATATCCTTTGGAGGTGTTTATCAAGTTCTTCCTTGAACACGATGAGAGGGTAGCCAGTTATGTGTCTTATGTGGAGAAGGAGTGTTGAAAAGTCTTGGCCACTTTATGTTGATGACAGTTCTCTCTCTCAGTATACCAATTGCAACTCTACTTTTCAATGGGGCTGCTTTGTACATCCGGCCATGCTTCCTGGTTTTAAATGGAGTTATTTGGAACCAGTCCTTCTAATATATTGCAAGTGTAAATTATTCTCTCTCTCTCTCTTGGCTGCACTCTGGAGAATACTGCTATAAAATTCTTACGAAGTCCCAATAATTTAGTTTTATTGAGTGGATGCTTACAATAAAAGACCTCTGCATGTTCTCCAGGTCAGCAATTTCTCCAGCTTTGAATGGGGCTGTTAGTGTGCAATAATATTCCACCCTAGAGAGCACTAGTGTTTAAAAAAAAAAAAACACTAGCTGAATCAGTAACGGCAAACATCCACGGAGATCACATCTCACAGGACTAAGGGTTAAAGGTGTCACTCATCCAGAAGCCAACATGGCAGGGGTAGAAAGAATGACCTTTGTCAGTTGTCAAAGACGATGACCACCCTTTATGCTCGCACTTAGTGAGCATGGGCTTGAAGTGCCCTCTTTAGAGTAGCTTCAAAGAGCCACAAAGGGTTTGTGGAAAATATTAGAGGGGCTGGTCCAAAACCTGCACATAGAAATAACATCACATGAGACTTTCCCGCTCTTTTATCTTTTCTTCCCTGGCTACTTGACACACAGTTTTAAACAACTCTTGGTTACTTTCAGTGGGATGTCTCCGGTACTCTCTACTCATGTCTCTTACATTTGCGTTAAGCATCTTTATGTAATCGTTCTCATACCGTTATATTTTCTTCCTTTGAGGGGTTACTTCGCCCAGGCGTACGGCGCGGAACTCTGAGACAGCTCTCAATTTAGTGATTAAGGTCATCAAAGGTCATCAAAAACAATGGCTTGAGTTCACTAGCTCTATTGGACGGGAAACATCTGCAAGACAAGTGTGGGCCAAAATTTAGATAGCTAAGGGGGGCAGAGCCTGGCCTGCGGCTCACAAAGACCCCCAGGGTAAGGCTGAAGAACTAATTCACAAGTGGAGTGATGCAGCATCCTCCTCCTCCCTCCCTGCAGAAATCAGCAGGGAACAGCTCCTGCGACATGATGACAGAAGAATTAGGTTAACAAGAGCACTGTCTAGTGATGACGAATATGGGGAACCAATCACAGACCAGGAAGTAAGGGGCGCTATGAAAAAGGGTAAAAGTACTGCACCTGGTGAAGATGGCGTCACCTACGACATACTCAATGCACTGTGTGAAGTGTCTGGGAATCCACTACTCCACCTGTTTAACAAGTCATTCCTAAGTGGTGTGTTGCCCACACAATGGAAACATGCAATAATTGTTCCCATACCAAAGCCCAATGACCCTGGTAATTACAGACCTATCAGTCTCGTGTCATGCACTTGCAAGATGCTTGAAAGGATCATCATAATCTGACTGTTGCACTAAATAGGCAGGTTAGGGGAGGGGTCAATGGATTTGTTAAAGGACGGAGCACAGCAAATTGTATAGTTAATTACTTGGCTAATGTACTTGGCTAGGTACTCTGTATTTGTCGACATCAAAGGAGCCTTCGACAAAGCACAGGGGATTGCGATCCTGGACGACCTTGCATGCATGGGTGTCAAGGGGAGACTCATGAAATGGATTGAAGACTACCTCACAGGGAGGAAAGCCAAAGATTGCTTCAATGGAGCAGTCTCCAGAACAATGAATATGGAACTCGGGACACCTCAAGGCGAAGTCTTAAGCCCTACACTATTCAATGTACTTATGAACGCCATTGCAAATACTGATTTTCCGGAAGGAACACAACAAGTGGGATATGCAGATGATGTCCTAATACAAGCTCCCACCTTGGGAAAATTTGAACAGTCCATTGAACTCCTTAGAAGGAAATGTATTGAGCTCGGTTTCACTCTCTCCACAAACAAGACGAAGGCATACTCCCATCACAAGCGGAGAGCAAATGAAGAACTGCAAATTAATGGTGTAACACTTGAATGGGTTGACCACTATCGGTACCTTGGCGTCACTGTCGGCTCTAACAAGGGGAAGAAAGAGGAGCTCAACCAACTCATAGGAACATGCAAAAGTCAACTCAGGGCACTGAAAGCCATGGCCTGTAATAGACATGGAGTCTCTATTGCCGTGCTTAAAATGATGTACACAGCCTATGTGCGCTCCGTCATAGACTATGCCATACCAGTTATGTGCATCTACTCCCAAAGCGATATAAAAAGGCTTGAAACCATTCAAAATGAAGCCATAACAATCTTTTTTCAAGTTCCAAGAACTGCCAAAACGTCTAATCTACGAGAGGAGTTGTCCCTCCCCCAGTGTTAAAAGCAGAATTAAGGAGCTGAATGCTAAGCTTGCAATTAGGATAGCCAGAGATCCCCATTACAATGATATTGCTAAGAAAAAACTGAGCTCTGTGCTACTTTCAGGGGGAAACAGAAGCAAAAAATGGCATCACAGATCAGTCTGCTACCTCGAACAGCTTCACCTGCTTGAGCAAGCCCGTGAGCTCCTCCCTGTAGAGAGGTTACCTCCCTGGGAGGATGACTCATGCAAGATTATCATCAATGACATGGAAAGGAAAAAATCCAACATGTTACCACAAGAAATGAGGCACAAGTATCTCGAGGTAATTTATAAAGAAGCCAGAGATGAACTACATTAAATCTACACTGACGGGTCATCTAATCTTGTCAATGGAAGGGCTGGTGCAGCATACACGGTAATCAAGGATAATACTTTCCAACGCAGAAATGAAGAAAAAGCGTGTATTGAGAACTATGCCTCTTCAACGCAAGCAGAGCTAACTGTCATTGTTATGGCGCTAAGGTTTTTTGAACGGAACACTAATGGTGCACAGATTTTCACCGATTCAAAAGCAGCACTGCAAAGCCTAAGTAAAAATCTTGCAGAAAATCTTGCAATAATCGCTGAAATTAAGAGAGCTGTGGGAGTACTTACCAATCACGGAAGTCATCAAGTTTCTGTGGATCCCCTCCCATGTTGGAATATATGGGAATGAACGAGCAGATGTGCTGGCTGCTGAAGGCGCTGAAGGAGATCATATTGAATACTTCATACCCAAGACTCTACTACAAATTAAGAGGTATCGTCAGGCAACATCACCGTGACAAGGTAACTGAGGAAAGGAGGATAGAAGCACAAACCAGTCAATCTGTACAATGGTACAACATGGTTGCAGCTGGCAATCCCAATCATTATGGCCGAAGAGGAGGAGGACAAGGGAGAGAATCAGTAATAGCAAGAATCCGTCTTGGATACATATATCCATGGAGATATGAATTGGAAGCAACAGTTGATCAGCGAAGTTGCAGAATCTGTGGTGAGAGTGATGGACACCGCCTTGACCACTATCTACATGAATGTGAACACCTGAGAGACATCAGAATTATATGTAGAATAATAAACCCCACATTGTTTGAGTTAGGAAAACACTATTTGTCAAATATTGATACTGTTCTTAAAAGATTCCCCCATTTTGCACCCGCAAGATAATGTGAGCTTTTAAGGGTTGATAGATGTTAATCTTCTTGTTTGAGGAGCTATTCACTTGAGAAACAGTTAAGCAAGTCCCAGCTGTGTCTGGGTACAAATGACAGGATGAACAACCCTACTGGGTTTTCTTCCTATTGGGGAGTGTTGTACATGCTGCTATGGCGGTGTATCCACTCACAAGATGAGTGGCGCTGCCCAATACTGTCACTATGGCGGTGTATCCACTCACAAGATGAGTGGCGCTGCCCAATACTGTCACTATGGCGGTGTATCCACTCACAAGATGAGTGGCGCTGCCCAATACTGTCACTATGGCGGTGTGTCCACTCACAAGATGAGTGGCGCTGCCCAATACTGTCACTATGGCGGTGTGTCCACTCACAAGATGAGTGGCGCTGCCCAATACTGTCACTATGGCGGTGTGTCCACTCACAAGATGAGTGGCGCTGCCCAATACTGTCACTATGGCGGTGTGTCCACTCACAAGATGAGTGGCGCTGCCCAATAAACTCCCCCCTCGGGGCAAAATTTAAATTTAAAACACATGAGACCAGGAGGCATGGCAGGATGTGCAGAATATCCCCGTTGAAAAGCAGAGGTGCAACAGGTACTCTGAGAGAGAACTCAATCAACATCAGAGGCCCGAGACTGTTCAACACGCTTCCTCTATCTACACATAAGGGACATAACTGGCCGACCCCTCACAGTGTTCAAGAGAACTGGATAAGCACCTCCAAAAGATATCTGATCAACCAGGCTGTGATTCATACGTCAGACTGCGAGCAGCCGCGTCAAACAGCCTGGTTGATCAGTCCAGCAACGAGGAGGCCTGGTCAACGACCGGGCCGCAGGGACGCTAAGCCCCGGAAATACTCCAAGGTAAGGGCTTTTTGAAGGTATCCATGACCTTCAAAGATCCACCAGGGGCTCTATGAAGGCATCCATTACATTCAAAGATACCTTTGAAGATAACTGGTATCCATTCTGTTGATATATAATTAAATAATACTATTACACAAAATATTATAAAATAAGAACTTACTACTAGAAGGATTGTAGAAAAGCCCAGTTGCAGGATCTAATTCCCCCACAGGAGCAAGAGATCCATCATCCAGATGTCCACCGGGAAGTTGACTAGTCAGTCCTGCGATCAGACTGGCCATGGAGGTTTGCTCCTGCAAGTAAATCATCATATAACCTATCGTCAACATCTTTGATTTGTGATGATTATACAGTAGCTCATTTATTAGAGCCTATAGACAAATATATCAATCAGAGACTATCACATTTAAACACTTGGTAAAAAATCAGGCACTGAATGCAATGTATTGCAATTTTCAAGTGGGGTCTTAAGTGACTACTCTGAGACACTCCTGCCTTCCAAGATCAAATCCTTTCCCCTCCTCAAAAACCCCCTTTGGAATCCTTGAGGGTTTGATAAAACCTCCAGGTTACAATTCTTTTGACCATTTCGTCGTGTAGTCGTTTAGAGCGTGTGTGTCCTGGGAATACCCAGCGCATAGGTTCGAATCCTCATCACGGTTTCTGTGGATTTTCTCGTTGAATGTCATGCAATGCATCTTCCTGAAGGAGCCCCAGTGGCTTTCTAAAGCCCACTTGCTGAGATTGCTCTATACAAAAAGGTCACATTAATTGCACAAGTTCAGTTTGGCCTACTGGGGCCCAGAGCCAGAAACCGAGCTACCCTCTCACAGAGATGGGACTAAAAGAGCCGAAGCTCAACCCCTGTAAACACAACTAGGTGAGTACACAGGGACAGGGAGTGAGTGACAATCTGCCACCCCACTGAGAGCGTCCAGAAAGTTGGCAAAGCTTTACAGACAACTGAATGGTTCACAGAAAACAATGCCTCAAAACACCCATACGACACTTCAAATGTCGTATGGTTCCGCTCCAGATTCACTCTAGGATTTTGGAATGGCTGCACAGGTCTATTGCCAATACAGTACTTGTAATCATTATGTTTCTGATCTATTCATCATTACTTATGAAAAATAAGCTTTAGTGTTGGGTTCTGCTATTTGCTGGCTTAAGGCAAGTATGTTTCACAAATCCATAAGAGGTCATTTGTGTGTGACTGTCCATCGAGTCTCAGATATGGCTGTATTTGCCACAGCATTCCATTTTAGGTGCCATAGGTTAAAGTCCCCAAGCAAGATGATGTTTGGGGCTGGGTGTGTGAGGTTTTCTAAGCAGTATTCTATTTTCATTAGTTGGTCTTTAAACTCCTGAGAATTGCCCCTGGTGACCTATACACAAGGACAATAACCACATTTAGGATCTCTATTTAGATTATCAGCACTTCCACCATATCACTTGTGGTGTTTAGCAAGTCAGAGAAGATGAGGGTGTCTGAGTGTGTCACAGGGTGAGACTGACCTCACCCTGTGCCTGGACCATACCTGGAGAATGTTTCGGGAGTTCTTCTACTTCCCGAGCCCGGCCTGGGGCTAGGCTTGACAGCCTGTAGCCTGTGTTTCCTGTCACGTATGAAAACACTATACTTCGGTATCCAAATTTCACTATCATAGTGATCCTTTATGTGAGGTTTCAGTCAGGGCGGCAAACAATGCTTTTGCCGCATTTAGGTCAGCCATAAAGTTGACTGTGTGATTTGACGTGTTTTTATACCCCTGAATGTTGGCAAATACATAGGATGTTGCTGTCTTTGTGGAAGTTTTGGGTCCTCTACTTGGGGCACCCAACATTGTGCCCCAAGCGCAATGTTGCACAATGGCCAACATTGTGCCCATTGAACCAAGGCACTGGTTCTTACCCAAGTGTTGTTACAGGATGAGACCTACGCTCGTGGTGTGCCATCTACCCAGCACTCCGTCATTCTTTGTGTTCTGTCTAGTATTTGACCGAGTTGGTGGTAGTGTATACATTTTTCATGGGGGATATTCAGAAAGTCTTAAGGTTCATAACCTATTGACAAGTTTCCACTAAGATTTCACCATGGAAACTTAAAATTGACCGTCATATTCTCAAATCTCAAAGATGATGTCATTGAACAAAATAACTGCCACATGAATTTGCAAGTAAAATGAAACATGGTTTTATTTTTGGCAGGCATGATTTCATAGTTAATATAGTTGTCTACTTCAGTGGGAATGTTTTCCCCAGTATATTATTAAATAGATGAAGCTGAGAAAGGGCTAAAAGAAAGCAAAGTTATGCCATTGTATAATACGAATCTAAGAGTCCTTACTTACCCCTCCCTGTTCGCCGATGTCACCGGGAGAATCCAACAATTCTATTCCCGCCTGGCGAAGCAGATTCCTTGCAGATTCTTTGTCTCCACGACCTAATATTTCCACGGCCTCCTCTGAAAAAGGTAAAGACATGCCAGGTCAAAATTGCTGTATACTGTACTGACTAAAAGGAAATGATTAAATAAAGAAGAGCACAGTTAATAGTCCTAAAAGTTCCTATCTTATAAAGTTAGATACCCAACACACACACATCTGGAAAAACAAGGACGGGGGGCAATGTTTTGGTTCGTCATGGACCATTACCAAGTCTTGTAAAGAGAGAGAAGAGTGGTATATAAAGTCAAAATATAAGGTAAGAAGGTGAAATGTGGCAAGGTTGAGCATAACAATTAAATATTTATGTATGTCCTATCCTGTGTGAGGTTGGGCAGGAGATTGAACTATGTCTGTGGAGTTTTTCGACAGTGCATAATGTGGCTTTGGGGGCTGGTCTGGTTTCTCCTGTTCCGCTCCTTTTGCCACTGCTGTGACTTTTGGGTTTAAACCCCGATCGCCCTTTATCGGCTGCATCATTGGCTTCCTCTTCCGGCTTTGTGGGGTTCAGTTCCTTGGCGCCTTTCTCTACTGTCACTCAACATTTTTATAAACGCTTCAGCTCTGGGACGGGGCTTTGTGACCATTGCTCACCAGGTCATCCAGGGTTCCATTCCATTGCGTGTACTTTTACAGTGCGGGAGTTTGTGGCTGTGTCTCATGCACTGAGGATGAATTGGAATTCCGAGCCTCGTGCTGTGTCTTTTCCAGTGCTACATTGCCTAAAGGGAAGGGGGGTGGGGGATTCCCTTCTGTGGAAAGCTTCTTCCACTGGTTTATTTATGCTGTCCCATACCCTAGTGAGGGGGAAAATAAAGCTCCTATGCAGCAAAGTTATCCCAGTGTTTTTCTATCACTTTATTCACTGCTAGTAATTATTTAATGAAACAGTTTAGGATATTATGTATACCAGTAACTTGTGCCAACTTGTTCACCATCATTTTTATGAACACTTGGACATATTTTCTAATAATTGTTTTCCCTGGTGATCATTTAAAGTCAATCACTTAATTCCAAGAATAACTTCATTATTACTTTCTATAGTTTCTCCACCAGGAGATAGTCCTTCAAAATACAGTAGTTACAAACTAGTCTAAATTCCCTTTATCAGGTCTACTGACCTCTGATAAGTCATTCTATATCATACCCATACGTAATATTCCACTATAGCACTGGTTCTTCTTAACTGGATTTAAAGTTAGGAATACATTTACCAGAGAGCAATAATCCCCTTTTCCTCTACACCTTCGGTCTGTTGCCCATGGGAGCTGGACACTGCGAGTGGCTCGTCTACTGGATTCTCGGGGTTTGGTTCTCCATGCTGTTCATATTTGGGGTGTCCAATGCTTTAATGGATGGTCTCTCTTATTTCCTTCCCATTTCCACGTGGTGGACTGTTGATGTTGCCTCCTTCCAGTGGCTTTGCGACATGGATCTCTTTGTGTCGGCTTGCAATCGGTGCCTTCCCCTCTACATGGCTCACTTCCGCAATTGCAATGCCATCGTAGTGGCTGCCTTTCAGCTCCACTGATCGCAGTGAGGGTTTCTATGCTTTTTCCCCAGTCCAACTGTTGCTCCAGGTCTTGGCAGGTTGGCATCCTACCAGGGAAAGGTGGTTCTTTTGGACCCTTTTTAGCTATTTCAGCCTTGGTTTCGGGCGCTGCTTGCTCGGTGTATTGGACACTTTTCGGCAGCTCTGCCTCTTTCAGAAGATCAGCCAGATGATGTACCTCTCTCGTTCAAATTTCTCCTTTGCTCTCCGCACTTGGTCTTCCTGATGTGTCTTTATCGCCATCTCTAAAGCAAGCAGGTGGCTACGTTGATGGAGTTCAACCTGTGTGGAACTTCCACCTTCTCGGTGGCAGTATGAGGTGTCTTGACACGCTTTGCTGCCATATTTCCCTTCATCATCATCATTCTTCTGTCTCCATTTGTGTGGTGCTTTCATTCCTTTCTTGGTTGTTTCTCAATCAGCATCTAATGCAGATTACTATCGCCTCTTATTGTTTGGTGCTGGTGGAGCTGCTGCTGCTTGTGTTCAGCATTGATACTACAGTACTCTGGAGTCATTTCGGAAGCTATCTTGCGCACCATTTCACCTCCGGTCTACTTATGTGTCACCTGAACCTAATTGCTCCTTGGACTGTGTCCTCGCCTTTCTTTCATCTCTACAGTTAACAATGTTCCCTTCAGTCCAGGATTCTTTTTCTAAAGCTATTTTCTTGTTGACACTTGCCTTCGGTTGTAGGGTTGGGGAACTTCATGCTCTTCTCAGGAGGCATAGTTTTTGTTTGGCCCTGGTGGACATTAAGGTCATCTGTAGCTAGGTGGGCTTCCAGAGGGAGTCCTTGAGGTTATCTTGAGGTTATCTTGAGATGATTTCGGGGCTTTAGTGTCCCCGCGGCCCGGTCCTCGACCAGGCCTCCACCCCCAGGAAGCAGCCCGTGACAGCTGACTAACACCCAGGTACCTATTTTACTGCTAGGTAACAGGGGCATAGGGTGAAAGAAACTCTGGCCATTGTTTCTCGCCAGCGCCTGGGACCAAACCCAGGACAACAAGTCCAGCGTGCTGTCCGCTCGGCCGACCGGCTCCCTCCAGTCCTCTGGCTGTTGATGGCCACCCCGGTTATGGGCTGCATCAGGTGCTGTGCCAAGTGATAATTCTTCGCCGCTACCTTCGTGCCACCAGTTCTACCTCAGTGAACGCTGTGTTGATCCTGTTTCTTTAGTTCCCTGTTCCAGGGTTCATGTTTCTCAGGTCATCCTGGAGTGGTCATTTTCTTGGAGTGGCACACCAGAAAGATGATAAGACAGAAAGGTGGACAGAGCTTCTGTCTCCCACTCGTGGGGGTCAGTAGTTCGAGTTTCCTAGTGCCCAGGTGAATGAAATTAAATAGATAACTTCTTTATGTTCATGCCAAAAAAGATAAGATCCTTTTAGAAGCGTATATGAATTTCATACCTAGCTATTCATGTAGGAGGTAAGCCACCTAGGGGCCTGATGGCTGAGTGGACAGCGCTCGGGATTCATAATCCTAGGGTCCGGGGATCGATCCCTGGCGATGGCAGAAACAAACGGGCAGAGTTTCTTTCACCCTGATGCACCTGTTCACCTAGCAGTAAATAGATCCCTGGGAGCTAGACAGCTGTTACAGGCTGCTTCCTTGGGGGGAGGGTGTGTGTGGAGAGAGGAAAAAACAAAACGTTGATTAATTGACAGTTGAGAGGTAGGCCGAAAGAGTCAAAGCTCAACCCCCCCCCCCTCCCACAAGCACAACTAGGTGAATACATTAGTTTCATTAGTTTATACATTAGAATACATTAGTTTCCGTCAGTAGTTTCAAAGCGTTATATGACAAAGAGTGCTGGGAAGACGAGACACCACGAGCGTAGCTCTCATCCTGTAACTACACTTAGGTAATTACATCATAGTCTAGCTGCTCTATACTGTCTGCCATGTTATATAACATAATATTACAATGACTGCAGTCCATGCAAGTCCATGAAAAATGGAAATATTATGATTTCCACAAACTGTCTAATTGACAGTTGAGAGGTGGGCCGAAAGAGTCAAGAGCTCAACCCCCCCCACAAGCACAACTAGGTGAATACATCATAGTCTAGCTGCTCTATACTGTCTGCCATGTTATATAACATAATATTACAATGACTGCAGTCTATGCAAGTCCATGAAAAAGGGGAAATAGGTGTATCCGCCCATACCTAACATTTGCATCTGACCCTCTGGTAAACTGTGTCCAGGAGAGTCTTCACCTTCGAGCCCTAAATTAAGCCATTCACCATCCCCGTCCCCAGCACAACCACTATTGCTGCCTCCACTGCCTCCGGTACCGGCATTTCCTTCACTGCTACTACCCCCACTACTGTCACCACCACCACCACTACTGTTTGTCGTAGGAGTGGCAACAGTGGTAGAGGAAGTAGTCGTGTTGGTCATAATGTTTGCCAGCGTGGTGGCAGATGTGTTGGTGGCGGTGGTGGTCGTGCTGGTCGTTGTGGATACGCTGCTTCCGCTGCTGGTTGCTGATGGCGAGTCGCCTGGAATAAAATTATTATATATAAGATACTTGATAGGAAAATGTTAGTACCACTACGAAATGCACTTGAGCACATCCTTATGGTAGTTTCCTAAGTGAAAAGCTTGCTATGGCATAGACAGGATTCATGAACAGTAGGATAGATGAAATTGTTTATGTAATAATCTAAGTTCAGGTCTGATAAAGACCTTTTGTGCCCTCTGTAATGCTTTCTGCGCTACCGCTCACAGGATGAGTATGGGGTGCACAATAAACTAGCCACCTCTGACAATAATTCAAGTAAAATGACATTAAGGGCCCCGGTGATAGAGGAGATTTCTCCAAATATGAAAAATAGTGGAAATTTTTAAACAGATCTCCCATTATTTGGCATCAGCATAGTGAAAATTTCATCCCAATATGTTAAGAAATGATTTTTTTACAAATTTAAAAAAATAAATGCGTGCACGACAGGCGGCAACCTGTACTGATAAAAACGATAACACCTCCTTTTTACTGCCAATCAGAGATAAAAAGATACAAGCACTTGTCTGACGCACACGGAAAACAAGTACAGTTCTGGTAAGGCGGGTCCATAAAGTGAATATGTCCCTGGCGCCACCTGGAGGACCAGATTTCACATATAATAATGAGTTAATATGTTATTATGCTGTATTTTATTATATATCATATAAATACATTGCCCAATGGCAATATTTCTTATGTCCCTTTGTACGAAAAACAACCACCACTTTTTTTTTATTGTTTTTACCGCTTTTTTCTCTCCGTTGTTTCTATGCGGATTTAGTTGTAACTTCTACATCTTGGAGAATGCATATCCAGCACTAAGCATGTTAATTTAACACTTTCCGGGATTTTCAACTTGGACATACGGGCGGTTTCCCTAACCGCTTGTCGGATCACGACGTAAATTTACGGACAGTGTTATATTGGGCATTTACTACTCCATCGACTTGGGGTTTGTATGAATATGTTTGCCATTAAATTCTTGTTTTCTCTAATAGGCACTGTGCCAATTTGAGAAAACGGCAATGTATTGTAACTTAGAGGAGAGACTATTGAATTGGTGTCACAACGAGGACAATCGCGCACTCCACACACTCTTGTGTTGGCCGCGATCATGATTCTTCATTTATATGCATATGTCTGTGTAGAGAATTTTATTCCGAACACTATACAAACAAAAAAATCCGAGTGAATCAAGTATAAACTTGAAAAAACATGAGCAAAGTACAAACTTTTTACGCTCACGGGTACAAACACGCGTAAGATTCGCGTAAGATTTTATTCGCCGCAAATTTATTTGACGCTCTGTTGGCCAATTCTACCCATGTTCTTATAGAACTTTCTATTGCGAACACATTGCTATAAAAATGAAATACGTAGCTCGAGAAATAATGTCATGACAGTGAAATAAGTATAAACTTTCAATGCGCTGCATCACAACAGTGTCGTCGCTGCTGAAATCACGGCTAACGCTTCGCCCAGTTCCCACACTCGTGCGGAACATAATTAGACATTGATAGGCATATGTCTGGGTGGGGAATTTTATTGCGAGTTCAGTGATATCAAAATAAGCGCTGTAGTATGACTGTGAGGCTGGCAACAAACGAAAGAGTATGAACATTTACTTCCTGTTTGGCTGTCACGGCGAGTCATCTTCGTGTTTATTTACTTTGTGGTGGGATAGCAAATGCTTGGGTGACATTTTATGCATATGATCTTGTAGAGAATTTTATTGCCAACGCATTGATACCAAAATGAAACACGTAGCTCGAGAATTGATGTTAGGAGCGTGAAAAGATGATAAACTTTTTTGTGTTCACGCTTGAGCGCCCAGAACGCTGTGCGCACAACCCGCTTTTTTTTCAGGGAGTGCCGCGCGCACTAAAGTGTTAAGTTGGATTGAAATTGGTCAACATGTTAATGAGCCACAGGTGGCAAAAGTTGTGACTTTTATTTTTTTGGCCCGATTTATTTACAAATTTCAAACTCGATTCGCTTTGTCTATTTAGGTTGTATTGATGAATGAGGACCTTATCACTTATATATGGGCAATAAAGTTACTGCAATATATATGTTTCTTGTAAGAACACAAGAACATAAGAATGAAGATAACTGCAGAAGGCCTATTGGCCCATACAAGGCAGCTCCTATTTATATCAACCCAATATTATTCATATATATGTTTAACCTACTATTAGACACATAAGGGGCCCCAGTGTCTGTTTTACAGTTATCCCTAACGTATCCCTATACAGTGGCACCTCGATTAACGAGTTTAATCCGTTCTGGCACCAAGCTCGTCATGTGAAAAACTCGTCTTGCGAAACAACAACAAAACTGTCGTATAAGGTGTCCAAGAACCAGCGGAAAGACTCGTTAATCGAGGAAAAGCTCATTAGTAGAGACAAATGTTCTGCAAGTGGCTCGCTCGTTACTCGAAATGCTCGTAGATAGAGCCGCTCGTTAATCGAAATTGGAATTGAAATTGAAATAAGTTTATTGATGTAAAATACACACAAAGGGATGAGGTAGCTCAAGCTATTCTCACCCCGTTCAGTACATCGTGTTAATACATACATATGCACACATCACAAACAATAAACATATTACCAAACATTCTGAGAGATAAACATCTACATTTCCTCCTTTACACAAGTAGTATGGTATCAGACATACACACAAATACTTTTTTGACCTAGGTACTCGTTAATCGAGGTGCCACTGTAGATTGACCAGACCACACACTAGAAATTGAAGGGACGACGACGTTTCGGTCCGTCCTGGACCATTCTCAAGTCGATTGTCTTGAGAATGACATTGTCTTGAGAATCACAATCGACTTGAGAATGGTCCAGGACGGACCGAAACGTCGTCGTCCCACTCATCGCCTGCGTGCCACTGTATTTTGTTTTTATATGGGGTTATTTTTTCTTGACTTCATTTCTACACATATTGACCTACAACTTTCACATATTCGAGTATGAATACAAAGCAATCTTAATTAAAAAAATCCAAGATATGTCATAATTTCTAAGTTCTACTGTACTTTAACTTTGTTCTTCTCCATGAACAGAATTTTCAACTTTGAGACACGGTCAAAATTTCTATTTCTGACCGATTCTTACCATTTTTACATATGTGCAAAGTTCCTAGTTTTAGGGTGTTCTTCTTGTGGTTTAGTCATAAAGTCATAACGTTCAGTTATAAATTTTTTGGGTCTAAATTTTCCACTTACTGTATTTGGAAGGTAATACTGAAAAAATGTTTTACAGTTAAACTAAGTTTTACAGTAAAATATTTTGCTACAAGAAACAAGAACGTTATATGCTTTATAACATCATTATATGAACGTTATATGAGACCATAATGAATACAAACAACAATTGGTTACATATTAATATTTTGACAAATATGGCAATTTCAATACAACAAATTCATCTCATTATCTTCATAGCACCAATGTCAATGTAAATTTAAACTGCTGAGAATACTGAATTATTCTGGCAACTCAAAGATTGACAAGAGAGAGTATTCAATGTAAGAGTATATGAATATACTGATATATCGTATTTTAGATAAAACTGTCAAACGACTATTATAAAATGGACAAATCCACAAGGGGCCGTGACGAAGGTTTGAACCATGTTCGAATATTTTAACCATGTCGTAGCTCAGTCGATTAAGGCAGCGTCTGGGATGCTCTCGGACATAGGTTCGAACTCTCGTCACGGCCCTTGTCGATTTGTTCATTTGATGCATCACGCTATTGTGACTTCTGTGCGTAACTATTATAAAGACACTTAGAAACATTTTAATATATACAGTATATAATTCAAATAACAAGTGGACAAGCACAATACTTACCATGCAATTTTTGGTAATATTACAACAAGAGAACAAAGCAATCAAAGTTAGTGCCATTAGTTGCTGAAAACTAGCTGATTCTAACAAAATGATCTTTCAACTTTACTGAAATGCCTAGAAATTCAACAGTGGAGGTTACTTAAATGATTATCATATCGTAACTCTTCGCACGGCCAAATATATATGTCAATATGTTTCTTTTAAAGCTTTTTAAATACTTGTATAGATAAACCTCAAACTGAGACAGAAGAAGTAAACCCTTTTAAAATTCCTAGTTACCAATTCTTCACTTTCCAAGAATAAAAATACAATGTCCAAAGGAACATATTAATTGGTAGAGGTTCAATCAATTTTTGTTATAACATGCTTCTCAAATTATGTCCCCCGCTTTCATAAGCTGACTAGTCTTTATTTTGAAGACAGGCAATGTCCCATCTACTGACAGGTTTCATTCTGAAAGGCCATTTGTAAAGCTGTTGTTCTTGAGGTTATCTTGACGTTATCTTGCGATGATTTCGGGGCTTTTAGTGTCCCCGCGGCAGGGTCCTCGACCTGGCCTCCACCCCCCAGGAAGCAGCCCGTGACACCTGACTAACACCCAGGTACCTATTTTACTGCTAGGTAACAAGGGCATAGGGTGAAAGAAACTCTGCCCATTGTTTCTCGCCGGCACCCGGGATCGAACCCGGGACCACAGGATCACAAGTCCAGCATGCTGTCTGCTCGGCCGACCGGCTCCCTGTTCGGAATGCGGAACGAGATCCTCAATGTTACAAATAGGGATGCATTCTCAGACCGCCAAAAATCCCATTAAAGCAATATTTTGGGGAAACAGTGCAAGAAACGTGGCATATTAGTCATCAGACTGGAAGAATTATCCTGCTTGTAAACGTCAGCTGTTTTTGAAGAGTGAAGAGATCTAATTCCATGAATAAATAAATGAAAATACTGTACCTGAACTGGGATATCCAAACCACACCATCAGAAAATGAAGACATTACAAATTTCAGTCCATCCCGAACCATTATCAAGTAGTGTAATGGAAAGAAGGGTGGAAACGATAAGCAATAAGATCCTTTATCCTGCCCTCCGTCATCACTTTCCTCATTCTATTCTACTTTCCTCATCTCA